CATATGGATTTATTTAGCTAGGAAGAGTATCCTAAGAAGGCTAAAATAAGACATTGTACATCATTCTGCAATTTGAAATAAGTAAATTAGACACAATCCTGCAGACAGTGTTTTCCTTTAGTTAGTGACAAGCTATTTGCCCATTGGCAACTTTTGTTGTATTCTAGGTACAATTTTTTTTGGGGGGAGTGTTATTCTACAGACTTGAAAGATTAAATAATTATAAATATGTCTGGGGGGAAATCATAAGAAATTTTATGAAATTGACCTCTTTCCAGGATGATTTGCATTTTTCATGTCTTCAGCCGGAAGGAGCAGGAAGCATATGATTTTATGCGAGAGGAAGCACTTGGAAACATTTTTTTCAAAATCAAAACCTTTGTCTAAGTTGTTTACTAGTGTGTAAGTGGAAAATATTGCATTAATACCTTTGAGATTTTTTTACTTAGTCATAAATGACAGTGATACACTTTGGCAACAATTGTTGCCAGAGGGGCAAAATGGGTTAATACAGAGCAGAGTTTACAGGATGCTAGTTAGCATGCTCTGTTGTTAGGACTGACTRAGAAGGCAGGTCAGACATCTAAACTAACAAAATAAAGGAGTTGAATAAGGAGAAATAAGTGTGAAAAACACAAACACCAGTTTGAATATACAGTCTGTATGTGACACTGGGTGGTGGTTYGGTTAAAGTTAGGGTTATATAAGCTGAAATGTTGATGTACGTAGTGTACATGCTGCATCTTATATCCAACTCTGACTATAAAGTCCAACTCTTTCCATTTTCTCTTTTTCAATATCCAGTGAAATATGAAAAACACAACAAATATAATAACTGTGTTCTGTGGTAAATGTTGAAAAGTAACACAAACTGGTTTTAAAAACWGTTTTGTGCRAAATWCAAGATGTTTCAGTCTCAGCCTTTTCTTCCATATATGGCCTGTGACACACCAGGGACCAGTCCAGGCAAGATTGCCATCATTTCTATTGCAGCAGCTGCAAATACCTGCAGTGTCATTGATAAAACCTTTTTTGACGGAGGTCAGACGTTGATGTGAAGCACCCAAAATCTACAAGAAGAAGAAAAAGGCAGAAGTTGAKTGAAGTTCAGTGGTGATGGAGAGACAGGGAGAGCAGGAGGGAGGAATGAGATTTGATATTTAGAATGTTTGGATTTTATAGTGAAATGTAGTTTAGTTTAGTCACTTATATTGTGTCTGAGTCGAAACYATGAGGCGATTCTTGAACGTGAAGCTGAGGATTCTGTTTGAGGTGGGGGTATCGATGAGTACTGATGGGTCTTCTTGCGTACTTGCCTCTTGTTGTCTTAGTGGCTCCTATATGTACAGAATAGAGCAACAATTTCAGATGAACAGTTCTGTTTTGTTCTTTATCTCTTGCAGAGAAATCAGTGTAGTTATCTTCTAAAGCCCCTTCTCTATGAGCACATCAGTACTCTATTTGGTTCAGGACTGCTCAGGTGTGTGTGTGTGTGTCTCCATCTCAGTGTGTACCTCACTCTGTGCACGTGATTATGAGCAGACCATCCACGGCAGCTTCATCTGTTGTGGTTTAAAAAAAAAAGCTGTTGTGGTTTTACAGTTCTGTTTTTATTTAATTATGACCCTCGCACACGAAACGGGCATCAAAACAACTGGGGACCTAAAAGCTTACTTTCCAGTCAAAGTGGAGAGGTCCAAAAAAGGGCGGAGCTTTGAGAAATAACTACCCAGACATGCTACTTCCTGACTTCCTGCTACTGGGATATACCAGATCAGGTTCAGAATACTTCCACAAAGTGATGCTTCAAACAGACTGCATGTCTTTCTTTATTTGGACGATCTTATGTATGTATCTTATGTATCTTCTGTAGACTTCTTTTCTGACCCAAAAGTGCCTTTGAGCTACGTTTTGTAATAATTTGTCCAACTTGTTCTAACTTGCGTGTATCTGTGTACTCAGGTGTTTGCCAGTTGGTGAATAAATTGGATGAAGCATGCAACAACATTAAGGCCTTTAACAGAAATGACGAGCAGTTCCTGGAAGCGTTTGCTATCTTCTGTGGCCTCGGCATTCAGAACACACAGATGTATGAAACGGTGGAGAGAGCCATGGCCAAGCAGGAGGTCACACTAGAGGTCAGCATCTGTTCACACACACACACACACACACACACACACACACACACACACACACACACACACACACAC